GGTGTGATTCTAATTGGTTTGCCTTTATATGTTACTTGGCCTTTTTCCTTTGCTGCTCTCAATATTTTCTCTTCATTCTGTAGATTTGGTGTTTTGATTATTATGTGTCGGCAGGGGGGAGGGGGAGACTTTTTTTTGTGGTCCAGTCTGTTTGGTGTCATGTAAGCTTCTTGTACTTTCATAGGCATGTCCTTCCATATGTTGGGGAAGTTTTCTTCTATGATTTTGTTGAATATGTTTTCTGTACTTTGAGCAGTGTTTCTTCACCTTCTTTTACACCTATTATCCTTAGGTTTCGTCTTTTTTACGGTGTCCCATATTTCCTGGATATTTTGTGTTAGGGATTTGTTGGACTTGAGGTTTTCTTTGGTTGATGAATGTATATCCTCTAGCAAGTCTTCAATAGCTGAGATTCTCTCGTCCATCTCTTGAATTCTATTAGTTATACTCACATCTTTAGTTCCTGATCGTTTATCCAGCCTTTCTATTTCCAGCATTCCCTCATTCTGTGTTTTTTTTTATTGTGTCTATTTCACCTTTCATGCTTTGAACTGTTTAAAGAACTTCCTTCACTTGTTTGTTTGTTTTTTCTTGGGTTTCTTTAGATTCTTTAAGAGATTTGTTTATTTCTTGAATTTTTTGGTTTATCTTTTCCTCCATTTCATGTAATTTTTTGCTTGATTTTTCCTCTATTTCTTTAAGAGATTTTCTTGTTTCCTCTTTAAAGGTCTCTATCATTTTGCCAAGATAATTTTTGAGGTCCATCTTTTCTTCATGCTCTGTGTTGGGCTTTTCAGATCTTGCTGGAGTGGAGTCCCTAGATTCTGGTGGTGTCATTGGTCTTTCTGTTGTTGAGTGAGATCTTATTCTGTCTTCTTCTCATATCTTCTTCTAGTGGGTGCAAGTGGGGTCTCTCTATCTCCTCTTGTGACCCAGTGGTGTGTGGGGGCCAGGAATTCAATGTCCGCATCTCTGGATGGTCTTGCCTCTCCTGGTAGTCTCCTCACTTTCATTGTGGATTGGGCAGCAGAAAGGGATGGAAGAGTGGGGTGTTACCAGATTCAGGGAGCTCCTCCCTGCCTGGGCGTGTCTACCCCAAGTAGGCAGGCGCAGGCCTGGGGGGGGTTGGGGTGAATGATGGTTTGGACGGGGGGTTGGGTAAGAGCAGAGGCTCATTCACCTCGTTGTGGATTGGTCGGCCCTCTTGGATCGGTCGGCCTTCTTCCACATTTTATTCCATTTCTTGGATATGTTGAAGAAACTGGTTTATTTGTCTTTTAGATAGTGGATTTGGCTGATCTTATCCTTAAGGTTTTGCTTCATGGCTTTCTCTCATATTTCCTTCAACCTGACAATGACATCTAGGGATAAATACACATTGAGAGCAGAAACAACTGTCCTTAAAACTGCCTCTATTATATATAAATGAACTTACACTTCACACAGGAGACATGGGTGAGACATGTAGAACAAATTTTGTATTGAACTTCCACCCCACGGAGTTCTGACAGCCTTTTTCTTTAAGTTACTGGCTATACATTAGTAAGAAGGAAGGTCAAATGAAGAGAGGGCCTGGAGCTATAAATGAACTTGCTCCCATCAAGCTTTTGGGGAAGAGCCACATTATTACATTATAAAAACGCCGAGAAAGCTCTTGGCAAGGGCTGACTTGGTGTCGGTTGCTTAAAGCTAATGTATTTTTGTTTTTCATTCTTCTGGAATATCACTTGGCTTTCATAGAGACCATCTTAACATCTTAGTTGGCATGGGTATTTGTGAGAATCTAATCAAGTTTTACCCTTTCCTTAGGGAGTTATGGACTCCTGGTGATGCATGGTGGTCAGGGGCCTTTTTCTCACACCAGAGAGAGCAAGCCCATTAAAATGGAGCTGCCCTTGGCTGCTGGGTGTGTGTCCTCCTGTAGAGGACTTAGTGTCATTATAATGGAACTGGGCTATTTTAGGAGTGTGTTGCTGGTAAAAAGATGCTTCTCTCTCTCCTATTGTGGGACAAGGTCTCACTATGTATCCCATGTTGACCCTGAACTTGGTTTATTGCTGCCTCAGCCTCTTAAGCACTAGGATCGCATGTATATGCTACCACTCTGGCTCTAAAATAATCTCTTTGGTGGATGGCATGTGCCTGGATGAAGCCCATGGCTTTGAGCGCAGTGGGCAAGCATATCAGCACTAAGCTACAACCCAGCCCTTCCTGTCCCTTTCCTTCTCTTGGACTCTTCAATGTTTGACAGCACAGTCTCCAGAACTATGAGAAACACATCTTTATTCTCTAGAGATTATCAACCTCAGGTATTCTGTTATAGCAGCACCCAGTGGAACAAGGCAGGAGATTATCCAGAATTATCCACAGAAGTTGAAGGTAATGACACAAGTTGTTAAAAGCAGAGAACCTTTCCTGGATGCTGTCACAGAGAGGGGCAGTGTCAGGAGTGAGAGGAGTAGTGTTGATATATGTAAAGATTGAAAATGGGTCATTAAGCTAAAAAAACATTGTGAACTATTCCTAAAAGATAGAAAAAGCAAGAGGGTGGCTGTCCCTCAGGGTCCAGAAGAAGAGTGTCCAGATGCTAGCCCTTTGATTTTAGACTATCCACCCACATCTAGCTCCTGACCGCCATAACTGTATGGTTATAAGTGTCATTTTAAAGGAGTTTTGGTATGTTGTTATAGAAGACTGTCAGGAAGCTAACTCTATCAAGACAATGGGAGTTGTGCCAAAGGAAATGGAAAAATCAGGTTCTGATAATCGTTGTCTTCACTTTCAGGTAGTGGTTGAACTTGGAAAATTTGAAAGGAAGAAGCTTAAAAATGCCCATTTGCAAGAGGGGCATCAAAATGTCAAGGAAGAGCCTAACTATCTCAATCCATTTCCTAAAAAGGAAGCACTAGCCTTGGATGTGAAGAATGCAATGGACATTGGCAGCTACCCGATTGTGCTGTGGTGGTCCCCCCTGACTGGAGAGACTGGCAGACTCGGCCAGTGTGGGGCCGATGCTTGTTTCTTCACCATCAACCGGACATTCCAGCATCATCACATGACCAAGGCCTTCCTCTTCTATGGTGAGTTGGGCTTCTCCTTCCTCCTTTCATTTATTAATGTCTTGTTCAAAGCTGAGTTACTGCTTACCCTGAGAGGGCTGAACTCTCTGAACATGTGTTAGGACACCTGATTTCAGTGTTGGCTGTGTGGAAGGCCTGTGGCATTTAGCAGATAACAAACAATCCTGGCCAACTGTGCTAGTTTGAATGAGAATGGTCCCTATCTATAGGCTCATATGTTTGAATGAGTGGTCCCAGTTGGTGGAGGAGTTTAGGAAGGTTTAAGAGGTATGACTTTGTTAGAGGATGTTTGTTACTGAGGGTGGGCTTTGAGGTTTCAAAAGCCTGTGCCAGGCCCAGTCTTCTCTATCTCTGCCTGCGGCCTGCAGAATAGGATGTAAGATCTTAGCTACTGCTCCAGCACCATGTCTACCTACCTGCCTGCCACTGTACTTTCCACGGTGATGATCATGGCCTAACCCTCTGAAACTGTAAGCCATCTCCCAAATAAATGCTGTATTTTATAAAATGCCTTGGTGTAGTTGGTTGTTTCTACTCTTTACCCTTTGGGGAGCCCGCCATCCAGCTCCCAAATAAATACAAATGGAGACTTATTATTACTTATGAATGCCCAGCCTGTGCTTGGCTTGTTTCTTGCCAGCTTTTCTTAACTTAAATTATCCCATCTACCTTTTGCCTCTGGGTGGCTGACCTTTTCTTTTTTTTTTTTTTTTGGTTTTTCGAGACAGGGTTTCTCTGTGGCTTTGGAGGCTGTCCTGAACTAGCTCTTGTAGACCAGGCTGGTCTCGAACTCACAGAGATCTGCCTGCCTCTGCCTCCTGAGTGCTGGGATTAAAGGCATGCGCCACCAACACCCGGCACGCCTCTTCTTTTCTTGCTCCTCCATCTTTTTCTCCCCAGAGTTCTCCTTCTATTTATTCTCTCTGCCTGCCAGCCCCGCCTATCCTTTCTCCTGCCTTGCTATTGGTCGTTTAGCTCTTTGTTAGACCAATCAGGTGTTTTAGACAGGCAAAGTAACACAGCTTCACAGAGTTCAACAGATGTACCATAAAATAAGGCAACACATCTGCATCATTAGACAAATGTTCCACCGCATGAACAATGAACACGTCTAAAAATAATAGTCTACAACATTGTTGGAAGTCAAAAATCTTGGATTTGGGAGCATATTTGGATTTTGCTTTTTTGGATTAAGGATGCTCAACCTGTATTTAAAAATCCTGACCTGGCTGATTGCTTCTTTGCTGCATGTGTGTGTGGGTCAGAGTGAGGATGTTCTGGCTCTTCAGGGCCAGGCTGCAGCTTGCTTGTCCCCAGAGGCGATCAAAAGCCACAGAACAGTACTGAGTGCTTGTTCTGAACATCATCTAATTGCAGATCGCACTGAAGGTGTGATCTAACACTGACATGAAGCTATATTTTTTAAGCCCTTCTAAAATGTTCTGGATTCAGAAATCCACATTGTACAGGTGTTGGTGAGGGACGGTGAACCGCTATTTGTGTTGTGCTTTGATATGAAGCAAGAGTTAAATACTGAGTTTAATTAATTTCCTTTCCTGTTTTTGCCTTTTTGAGACAGAGTTTCATGATGTGGCCCAGGTCACACCATAGCAGTCTTCCAACGTTGATAAAGAAAATATCATAATTAGAACTGTATGATTCTATAGCATGTGTGTTGAATATGTGTGTGTTTATGTGGGCATGTGTATATGCACGTTCATGCATATGTGGGTACTTATATATGTGTGTGCATATACCTCTTCGTGTAGAGGCCAGAGGTCAACCATCCACCTTGAGTTTTGTGTCAGGGTCTTTCCCTAGGACCCAGGGCTTACCAATTAGGCCAAGGTGGCTGGGCAGTGAGCCTAGATCTTTTTGTCTCTGTCTCTAGGATTACAAGTATGGGCCACCATATCTGTCTTTTTCATGTGCATGTTGGGGATTGACCTCAGGCCCTCTTGCTTTGGGAGTAGCACTTTACTGATTGCTCCATCTCCTCCACTACCAAACTGAATCTTTATTTACTTAATTCTACTGAGAATTGAACCAGAGCCTCGTATATACCCAGTAAGTGCTTCATCACTGACCTCTGTCCTCTGCCTACAATTTTTGAAACACACAAAAAAAATACTGAATATTGTGGATGCTATTAGGAATTTCTAGTAGACATTTATTTAAACACACCAGTGCCTTTTGCCCCGGGAAACAAGTTGAGTACCTACGTCTTTGAACACACACACACACACACACACACACACACACACACACACACACACACACCATTGTGCATAGTGTGTATTTACCTCCCACTTCCCTCTCAGGCAATGTATGGAATCTTCTTGTTTTTCACAGTTAAAATGCAGCAATGATTGCTTTCCTGGGTGACTGTTTTCCTGCCATCATGGTGGGAACTCAAATAACCGGCTGGTGGAAGCTGGTAAAGCAAGACTCTGCTTGGTGACTGTCCAGGACTGCAGATCTGTATGCCCCACTCTTAATTTTCTAGTCAGGCTGAGACCCGTGTTTTTTCAGAGGTGGCCTCACCTTTATCCAGCTTTGTGCCATGCTAACAGTATGCCTCAGCTGTGACTGTCATCATACCTTAGATCTCTAACTTGCCAGTACTCTCATTGAAAACCAAATGCTAGGTGTTTGTCGTTTTTGTTAGTGTGCAATTCAAGGCTCCATGGGTCTACTTCAGTCTTTCATGATTAATCAACTATCCTGGACAAACATCACAAATGTTCTTGGATCAGAATCATTGTTTATTCAGTCTTTGTGTCCTAACGTGTTTGTCTGTATTTCTCTTGTCAGAAAAATGGAATGCATAGCCTGTATTTGGTTGGCAGTGTAGACAAACAGTAGTTTTGATGTTACCCAGTATACACAAGGCTGGGTGACCCATGGTCCCTTAGAGCAGTGGTTCTCAACCCCATTGTGAGTCAAATGACCCTTTCACAGAGGTTACCTAAGACTATCCTGCATACCACACACTTACATTATGATTCATAATAGTAGAAAAATTACAGTTATAAAGCAGCAACGAGATAATTTTATGGTTGGTGGCCACCATAACATGAAGAACTGTATTAAAGGGTCGCAGCATTAGGAAGGTTGAGCACCATTGTGTTAGAGGAATTGTGTTTCTGAGGAAGGAGAGAGCATCCAAAAAATGTTTTCTGAGGCTTCCTTCATGAAATAGGAGAGGCCCAGGGTGAGCTCAGTGGGAGAGCATGTGCTTTGTCTATATGAAGCTCTATGCATCCAATTTCCAGAAGAGAAACAACACACCCAGATAAAGTAGGAGAAATCTGAAGTTGCCTTTGAGAGATTGTATTAGGGTTTCTATTGCTGTGAAGAGACACCATGACCCTGCAACTCTTATATAGGAAAACATTTAATTGGGGCTGGTTTACAGTTTCAGAGGTTTAATCCCTTATCTTCATGGTGAGAAGCATGGTGGCATGCAAGAAGACATGGTGCTGGAAAAGATGCTACAAGTTCTATATCATGATCCACAGGCAGCAGGAAGAGACTAAGCCACTAGGCAGGCTTGAGCATCTGAGACCTCAAAGTCCCACAGTGACACACTTCCTCCAACAAGGCCACACCTCCTAATAGTGCCACTCCCTATGGGCCGAGCATTTGAACACAAAAGAGTCTATGGGGACTATTTATATTCAAATCACCACAGGTTGTTTTAGGATTTGATAACGTGGGGTATGGAGGAAGAAAATGGAGTGTGTTTTGAGACGTATAACAAAGAGGTTTAGGTAAGGGAGAGATGGGATTAAAAGGTTACAATGGGACTGAGCTAAGACGCTGGTGAAGATTTTACATCCAGTAGGAGGATGGGGGTGGGGGAATCACTGAGAGCTGACCATCCCCTGTAAGAGTCTCTTCTGAATGCCCATTTACTGTCTGCCCAGCACAGTGCTGAATGTGTGTAGAAGAGAGGATGGTAGTAATGTAGCCATAAAATAAAAGATAGAAAAGATGGCGATAACCAAGTGAAGACTATACACTGTAACCCATCCCCTTACTTTAAGTAGACTTTCTGTTTCTATTCAAACAATTAGCTGTGTAATGCTTAATGTATAGAAAGCCAGCCATGGAGCTCTGTTGAGACTTTTTGGTGATTCACATCTCATTAAAATCTCAGGTTTTGGAGCTGGAGAGATGGCTTGGCAGTTAAGAACACAGCTATTCTTGCAGAGGTCATTATCAGGATTTACAGGAGTATAACCCAGGATTACAGTTACAGCTCAGCTAGCAATGAACTTAAAACTGCATCATTCACCATGACACAGAGTTTTCTTTTGGATTGGTCAAATTTCCCAGTGAGCATCTGACCTAGTTAGCTTTTTTGACCACCAAGCCACCTCTATCCTCCCTTGACCTAGTCAGCTTTAACTATCAACTTGACAGAGCCTAGAGACACTGGAGGAGGGTGTCTCAATTGAGAGAGTACCCAGATCAGATTGGCCTTTGGGTATGTCTGAGGGGGATTATCTTGAAGGTAGGGCTCTGATTGATGTAGGAGTGCCTAGCACACTGTGGGTAACACTATTCCCTGGGGCAAGTGGTCCTGGTTTGCACAAAAAACTAACCAGTAGCAGCAAGAAGCATTTACCCATGGTTTCTCCTTCAGGCTCCTGCTGGAGTTCTGACTCTTAACTTCCTTCAACAATGGGCTATAACTTGTAAGCTGAAACAAACCCTTTTCTCCCCTAAGTTGCTTTTGTTCAGAGTGGTAAAGATTTCCCCCACGGAGTGGGACCCCGGGGTGACCACTTGGGAATGCGGTGACCCCAATCATCAGGCGGAGGCGAGAACTTGATGCAAACCGAAAGAGGTTTTATTGCAGTTGTTTAACAAGCTAACCCCATTAGCTCCGGCCTTTCATCCACCCACCATGGCAGATGGCTGGGGAAAAAGACCCTGAGAAACCTCGGGACAAAGATCTTATAGGACAGCATAAGGGGCGTGTCTAGGGGTAC